CATGGCAATTAATATACAGGATCCTCAAAGCAGAAATGTTGATACATGATACATTTGTATCATAGGCTCGTCTTAGATCATTTATAACAAACTTTGCTAATTAAATGCATCATTTTATGACTACTCCTAAAGTACATTGCTGACACAAGCCCTAAAATCTAATTACTCTACACAAGAGTGTTTGCTTTTATTGTGGTTCATGGGTTGTAACGCTTTATAACAGGGTCAGTTTATCTTACATAAACAGCTGCTACGTGACCCGATACGCTCTTCTTTCTTATAAGTACCAATAGACAAGGTTTATGTCAGTGGCCTGGGCGGGCCTGCTAGAGACACACACACACACACACACACACACACACACACACTTTACGTCAGACCCAAATCAGAAACAGATGTTCTCTGCTGCTTGCCTCTATTGTCATCCTCTCCCAGGAAAAACCCCACTAAAGAGACTCACTAAATGGTCAGACCCCCACTGCGAAGGGGGATTGCGCAAATTACAATGAACAACGCAAACTTACTCTTATTTCATAACTACGCAAGAGACTGGGAAAATGTTCTGCAACAGCACAGCGAGCAAAATAGTTCTGTTGATGCTGTGATGATGTGGATTTCTAGAAAAACTATTAAACATCACATGTCACTTGTAAGACGCTTTTATCCAAAGCAACTTACATACATGCAGTACTGTGGACAATCCCCACAGGAGCAATTATGGGTGAAGTGTCTTGCCCAGGGACACAACGACATGGATTGCTGACTGCAGAGGGACTCACTGCAGTCAGCATGTCGTTGTGTCCCTGGGCATGTCGTTGCTATCCCCTGATTTCGAAGTCCATCATACCAGCCACTGAGCCACAGCCTCCTTTAATATGTTTTTATTAAATGTTGACTTTGTGTGGGAAGTCATCTACAAGAACGCCCTCTGTCCCATAAATGAAATCAAAGCATCTGGGTTACCATGTGATGTTTTAATCCCTTTAAGGCTTCGCTGTCAGACACCAGGAAATATTCCCTCTTCCTCACCAGTGGGCCAATTCTTTTGGTTCACAGCAAAACTTAATTGCTCAGTGTCTCTAGGATTATTGTTCCTGCAGTAACTAGGCAAGTCTTGTGATTACTCATATGTTAAGTCCTACTGTATTAAATTGTAATACATTCAATGAAACTAAATATTGTCTTTTTTACAGAGGACATGAGCCACTATAGTAACTTCTGAGCAGCCATAGATATTGGTTTGGAGCTCACCTGTTAGCTCCCAGTCTTTGAGGCTCTCCCTGTCCCTCGTCACACTGCCCAGCACCTCTCTGGGCACCGGCTCCATGCGAGCGTCCATCTTCTCTTGTTTGCTGCTGCTGGACGTCTCCATGGCCTTCTGGAAGAATCCATTGATCTCCTTAAAGTCCATCCCCTGCAGGTCATGGTTCAGATCGGCCTGCTCCTTGGGGCCCAGATTCTTCCAAAACTGCAGGAGATGAGATTGGCCGGCTTCAGCCAACCTCATGGCGAGTCCGCTGGCGTTTGGGTCCATGATGAACAGAGCTTCTGGTTAACTCTGCCACACTGAAAGACAGATTTAAAAATAAAATGTGTGGTTACTAATTAGGATATCGGGGTCATCTAGCTAGATCAGAGACAATTCTCCTAACTGTCCCAAACACTGGAGCAGAGCTGAGGAAATCATTCTTCACCTTTTGACGCCCTGCAAGTCTGGAATGAGCTGCAAGGCATACTTACTGAAACCTGATGACTCTTGACACATTTGTAAAATACTTGAAAATACGTTTTTAAATAAATAATGTTGATGCTTTTATCGAGTGACTTTATTTTCCTTGATTCTCGTAGCCTTTCATTGTTGGATGTTTCATATATATTGTTTTTTGGCCCCTTTTTATACTACCTTTAGTGCATGTACTACATATATGAAACTTTTGTTTTGCTTACCACCTCGACCAAGGCTCCCAAAAAGATTATAAACTGTATCTTATCAGGAAGTTAATAATTAAATAAAAGAACAATTGAATATCTTCAACCATATTTCTTGAAATGTGAGGGTTATAAAGACAAGAGCCGAAATGTACTCCACCATTTCTCACATATCATATGTCGGATTTTAAAGACTGATATTTTTAGAATAAATCTGATTTTGTTTAGGAATAAACACAAACAGTTTGTATGGTAAAGAAATAAGTTCAGTCATAATGAAAGGAATTTATTTGGTATTTTCCATCACATAACTTCTTCAATGGCAAGCCAAAACGTTTTAAAGTAGGTGTTGTTCTGTTGACTTATGAGTTATTATGACCTCAGTACAATCCTCACTGCTGCTTGTTAAACCAGAACAATCAGTGACAACACAATGCACACCCATTTACCTCTTATTCTGGAACCGTAGGCAAAGCAATTATTTTTATAAATGGTGCAATGATTAATGAACGTGTTTGTTTGAACCCACAATGAGCATCTTGCTAAACCAGGAATTCCTCACACTAATACTGGAGGAGACGTTTTAGCATTTTAATGGGATGATAAGGGCTACAGCAAGATGGGGCAATATATATTTTTTAAATACACAGCTGTTTGACACGTGAATGGTATAGCCTTATTTATAATTTAAAGCATTCGTGATACTTTCAAACGTTATGTTTCCATGAGGCGGTGTGAGAAACCTTCAGTAGGATTATGAAGGTTTCACATGTACAGAGGTGGGAGAAGTAATCAGATTGTGTACTTAAGTAAAAGTAGAAGTACCAGTGATTAGGAATACTCTGTTACAAGTAAAAGTCCTTTATTAGAATCATAAATGATATGTTTTGATTGTAATTATTGATGGATTAAAGTGTTATCAAAGCTGGTAAAGCTGCAGCTAGTTTTCATTACTTTGTATACTGCAGGGAATGTCACTCCAGGTGAAAATGAAGTCTTATTTAAGTGTTGAATATATTTCAAATCATAAGTCAAAATCACTGTTAACCTTTGAATTGTAGTGGGGTAGAAGTAAAAAGTAGCAAAACATGGAAATACTCTACTATGGAAGTACAAGCCCCTCAAAATGAGGTAGACTTGAGGAAATGTAGTTACTTTACACCACTGAGCAGAGGACATTTAATATTAGCATGAATTGAGATAAGATAAGAAGGACTTTTATTGACCCCCGTAGGGAAATTCAGATCGTAAAGCAGCAACTGAATTAGACACAGATAGATAAACACAGATAGTACACGATATAAACGGGCATAATAAGAATACAAGTACAATAAAACAAGAATAAACATGTGTTAACGGTTGAATTGAAATAACAAAAATAACGTGAGGTAAATTCTGTTCCTGTACATTAAGCTGTGTTCTTATAAAAACAAAAAGTGTGGTTTCTATGCAAACTACATTCATCCTCTATCTGGTGTCAGCAGTGACAGCTGAGCAGATATTAGCAGCTAACCGGCTAACTGTGCAGCTAACAGTTAGAGCAGCTCAATGAAAACTTAAAAGATAACATGCCTGGAATTGTAAACTCTTACCTCTCTTGACAAGTACTCCTCTTGGTTTAAAGAACATTAACGCCAGTCTGAGGGGTTTATTGTACAGGAGAGTTCGCCTCCCACCCGGACACCACCTCCTTCTACGTCAGTGACGTGGCACAGGCGTAAGGTGCATTCAAGTGCTTCAAATGCTGGTCGGAAATTCCGTTGAGTTAATCCTCAAATGGAGTTTATAAAAGTGATAAAACAAGGACTTTCTAATATTATTGGTGATTTAATTTAGTAAACACTGTATGTATAAATATGTATATTTAAGTGTTCAGGACCATATCAACGGATGGAAGAATTCACTCAAAATTTCACTTGCTGAACCGATGAAAACTATGGACTGTAAACGCCCCGAAACTTTTGTTTTATTATATTTGTTTTTATTCATGTTGTTGGAGTAAGTGCCTCGGGGTTTGTTAAAGCAATACATTATTGTTTTCAGATGTATTTTCTTTACTATTTTGTATTTTCTGTTTGTCATGTAAGCTGTTTTGGTTGTTTTATTTGTAGGCCTACTGTGCCATAACCATGGGCGTCAATTTGTTAGAAAAAGTGGTGGGGACAATACCTCCAAATTTAACATCAGCATAGCAGAAGACAACATATGTCCCTCCCATTGGTGTTGAACCTCGAGCACCTGCATGGAAAACCAATGCATAGACCTCTGGACCAAAGCCAATGTGTTTTGAAAAACCATGAATGTCCATGAATGCTGTGATGTGATTTTGAGTGAATTTGTACCTTTATGCACACAACAAGCACAAAGGTATGGAGGAGAGAACATTATATAAGTACACAAATAAATACATGCATAAAAATAGAATAAATACAGGAATACAAAAATACAAGAATAAAGAAATATGAAAAAAACAGAAAGAAAAAAATGTGGAGATAAATACAAGAATAAATAAACAAGAAAACATTTATACATATGGAAATCAATTCATGTGGCCCTAATCCTCTTCCGTAGGGATTGAACCCATTGAACCCATCACCCATAAAAATTCTAGGTTCCTGTCGGACATACTAAATGTCAATTAGGAAAGGCATAAAGTTATTAAAGACTTTTGCGGAAAAACTGTCCTCCAAGTATCCTAGATTTTGATTATGATGTCACGTCTGCATTGAAATGAAAGTAATGTTGCAGTGCCTCACTGTGTTCACTGGAAGGCAGTGCGTTGTTGATTTTGTGTGACATTTTACATTATATTTATTCATACAAAATGAAATCAGAAGTAAGAGCAAGGGTTTGAATATGGAAATGAATTAGTGGCAAAAGCAGTGGAACAAAAAATTAAGGGTATTTCTTGGATAATATAACAAAGTAAACTCAACACACAGAAAGCTATAAAACATTTAAGTAGTCCAGGGGATTATTTATTGTACACCATCATGTACAGTAGGTGGCGGTATGCACATTATAGGTAACGGTTGCAACCCGCCAGTAGATCAACAGAAGAAGAAGAAAAAGCGGAAGTAGTTCTAGATCAGCTGAGTTTGTTTTGGTCCTAGCAGAGAGCTAGCTGTTAATTTATTTGTGTTTCTGCGATAAACATTTTCTGTGACCACTAAGGGAAATGAAGAAGCTTTTTGATGGCATTAAGAAAGACATGAAGTTTAAAACGGCGGGACCTGGGAAGAAACTAACTGACGACACAAGGCAAATAACAAACTTTACTTTCTACTTAAGCTACAGCGCTAGAGCTAGCCTTAGCTACTGTAGTCTAATATCTGCTGCACTATTGAGTTAGTACATATTCATGCTGGTCAATAATCATTATTGATGTGCATGTCATTAAGCTAACAACAACTCTACTGATGAGAGATTTTACTGTAACTGGGCTAAATGTTTATTCGCCGTTAGCATCTGTGTTATATAACGTTAAAGCTCTGCAGCGGGAGTCGCCCATCTATTCTCAGTGGAGCTAATCCCAGAAAAATCTTATTTAGCCAATAGTCTTAGTAACGTAAAGTGACTTTTACTCACACTTAAGACACCCAACAGACTGACTGGAAATAGTCCTCCTGTCAGTGGTGTAGGAAGTACTCAGATCTAATACCACAGTGTAGAAGTACTTTTTTACAAGTAACATTAAAAGTGTTACTGGTGTGAAATAACAAAACTATTTGCATCAAAATATATCTAAATTACAAACAGTTTATGTATTGGTCATATTTAAAAATGATGTTTATTATATGATTGATTATGATTATCAGTGAAAAGTAACTAAGTACTGTACTTAAGTACACATTTGAGGTACTAATTTTTAACACTTTAAATGTCTACTCTACTACATTTTGAAAGACAATTTTGTACTTTTTACTCCATTACATTTATTTTACAGATGTATTCAGTAGTTCATATTAAATTATAAAAAACCATGACTTGTGTAAAATAAGAAACCTATTAGCATCAAAATATACCTAAAATACAAACAGTTTCAGTACTTATCATGCAGAATGAAGTATTTAAAAATGATGTTTATTATATTATGGATTATGATTATTGATTAATTTAACCTAAGAGATCAAAAAGACAGCACGTCAACTTCTGAATGCTGGGAACCTAAAGATTAAATTGAAATGCAGATTAACACTGTCACATTTTTCTAGTCATAAATCTGTAATAAACATTAGGTTTGTGTTATGCATCTACTCAATTAAAGGCTTAGAGTGGATAAGTGTTTAGAACATTATGATTAAGACTTTAAAAAAAGGAATGAGGCACTCTAAGTCAATCCAAGCTCTAAGGATATGTCTGTTTTTAAAGACCTTCAGATCCCTAGTTAGACTAAGAACGGAGACTAAGAACAGAGACTAAGGATACGCTTTTGTAACAGGAAACAAGTAAATCAAACATAACTCCAAGACTTTTGACCTGGTCCTTAGTATGTAAGGCTAATAACTAAAGGTTTATATACTGTTGCTTTCTCTGGGCTCTTGCATCAAATATGATGATCTCTGTCTTGTATTGATTCAGCTATAGGAAGTATTTATCAAAGCAACATTTATTTGGATATTTGAAGCCCTAGGTAGAACAACTGCATGTCTCTTCACATTGCTTTTCTGTCCCCTGCAGTACCAAGCCTGATGTGGTGCAGAGCGGCTCCGGTGCCAGGTCGAATCGCCATGGTCCCAGTGAAGGGTCCCAGAGGGCTGGAGCCGCCGCCCTGGCTAGAATTGAACAGATTCCCCGGCCAAAGGTCGGCACCTCGCAGGATGCCATCAGGAACCAGGGTGAGGCAAACAACCCTATTCCAACACTGCTTCAGTCATTTTAATCAGTCAAAATAACAAAGTACGGCTTGCCTTTTAATGTCTTCATAGCTAACGGTTAGTTGCACTCGCTTATATTCTTTGGGCTGCATTCAAATATAGTTTGATTTAAAAGTCATCTATTATGCAAAATCCACTTTTTCATGTCTTTTATACATAAACATGTGTCCCTTATGTGTAAAGAGATTCTGAACGTTTCTGGAACAAAGACCCCCTCTCTTTTTGTCCTGATCCATTTATTTAAAAACCTGTCTGAAAATGAGCTGATCAGATTTTGTCCACTTTATGATGTCATAACGATTTTTTGGCTTGTGTAACCATTAGCCAATAGCCAACCAAGGTAACCCCCCCGCCACCTTATCACCTGAATCTCCTCCTAGAGCACCATTGTGTTCCTTTTTAACCAAATATCTCTCAGAGGGGCGTGGCTCCTTATTTTCATCTAAAGTAACAGACAGAGAAACAGGGCTGAAACAGAGGGGATTACAATGATCTGTTTGTTGTTTCGAGCCAAACACTTCAGAGACATGTTTTGTATATATCTGAGACCTATAATATATTGATGAAAAACAGCATAATAGGGGACCTTTAAGAATAACAATGTTGTTTTCTATTGTTCATGATCTATTTGAATGTGAAGACAATGGCAAAGTAATATAATTGCACGATTTGCTTATAGTCAAGAGAGAACTGGAGGCGGCGTCACTGGCTGAAAAAGACAAGGCAGAATCAGAGGAGGTATGTTTACAGGGACTGGCTGTCGCATCAAGGTTTGAAAATGTCTGAAATGACACCAATAACATAATTCATTTCTCACAGTGATTAGCATTTTGTCTCATTATATTTGTGAATAACATTTCGTTCCAGAGATCCAAAGTGCCAGTGATAGCTCCCGCCTGTCTCTCAGTGTCAGGTGTGTATTTCACCTGTCCGCTAACCGGAGCCACTCTAGCTAAGAGTGAGAGGGAAGTACACATTAAAGAGGCCATTTTAATGGTACGTCTAAAAATATTACTACTTGTTGTTTCTGCTTGATTTACAGCTTGTTTGTTACACAATGATTTCATCTGAATATGGCTGAATGTTATAATACTAAGTATTGTTGTGGTCCTTTGTTTTCACTGTCAGCGGTTTGAGGAGGATCCCGTGGAGGCCTCTGTTATGATGATCCACACATTTAACAAAGACAGAGACAGAGTAAAGGCTGCTATCGACATTATGAGCAAGTAAGACACATCACATCAACGGATCATCATCATGCTGACCTTGATTTCAGTTTTGACTTGCTGTCAGTTAAAGATCTTCATTTACTTTAATGCTTGCTCTTGGCTGATGTTATTTTCTGTTTCTTCATTGTTTTGACAATAGGTATATTGAAAATATATGTAAGAATCCCACTGAGGAGAAATACAGGAAGATTAAACTCGGCAACAAGGTGTACCAGGTAAGTCTGAAACGGGTCTCATTGATGTGAACCTCATCCCTTCGAGAATAAGCATTATTAATGTTTTTTGCCATATTGTATATATTTTACCCTTTTGTTTGATTTCAGGAGAAAGTTTGTTCTGTGGAGGGCACTAGAGAGTTCCTGGAGGCCCTGGGCTTCACAAGCATTATGCTTTCTGTAGAGGGGAAAGGTAAGTGAGTCCTGATGCTCATGATTAACAATTCCTTACAGTGTTTCCCCGAGGATGGAGTCATAGCAGCGGTGCTAAGGCACGTGGGCCCAGCATAATGTGAGCGCGGAGCGCGTGGACATTTTTAGTGTGTGCGCGTGCGAAGTTCGCCCCGCCAATTTGTTTCTATGTGTCAGCACAAGAAAGGCTCTTGAGGCCTAGTACAAGGGACGGTTCTAGACAATTTGCTGCCCTAGGTGACATTTTATGTGAGATTTTATGTGAGATTTTATGTGTAAAGAATAAATGAAAAATCTCTACAAAAGACAAATACACTGCAAAAACTTATTGACATATGTAATTCAGTGTATGTATTCAGTATTGTATGAACATGTTTGAATTGGGGGGTGGACGTCACATCCTCTAGGGGGGTCCGGGGGTATGACCCCCCGGGAAGATTTTTTTTTGAACATTTTACAGTAAAATGCTTCAATCTGGTGCACTTTGAGCACACAATTACTAGAGACCTGATCTAGGGGGCACAACTCTAAAACGCCCTTATGAAAAAGATCGGTTTACATTTTAATAATCAAATAAGTATGTGAACGCAACCAATAACCTACCATAGCCAATAACAAATACATGTAACTTATTTTATTTTTGTTGTTCATTCATATCTTATTTTACCTAGTTAACATTTATTTATTTAATTATGCATATTTTTGTATCTCTCCAACTTTAAACGATATTTTTGGATTACTGTCCTATAGTATACGTTGGAATGATCCAATATGAAGATTGTGACTATCTGAAAAGTGTCCTTAAAACGAACCTCCTCGCAATTGTATGCACATTATTTATTCAGCCGTTTGCTGTTTAATCTGACGGGAAATACAATATATCATTCAAAAGAGAGAAAAAAGCGTATTAAACTAGACGAACGCTCAATACAGGCGATGACGTCACGTTTGCGCGTC